CCTTTGCCCCGCGTCCCCCTGGTCTGCTGCCCCCCCTCTCCCCCAGCAGACCAGGGAGATGGGAGCAGCTTTTCTCGCCCCGGAGGACGTGGGCGGCAGGACCGCGGCGCATCTGGGCGGTCCCGCCGCCCGCGTCCTCCGGGGCGAGAAAAGCCCCTTTCGTAAGTACAGATCCGACGTAAGTCGGATTCGCGTAACCCGGGGACTGCCTGTACTACAGAACTTGAGATGTGTTGATAGTAACATGTCAAGGGGCTCTTAACGATAACAGGATCATTGCAAAGGGTTATTTACCATCATGACGCGGCGCATCTGGGCGGTCCCGCCGCCCGCGTCCTCCGGGGCGAGAAAAGCCCCTTTCGTAAGTACAGATCCGACGTAAGTCGGATTCGCGTAACCCGGGGACTGCCTGTACTACAGAACTTGAGATGTGTTGATAGTAACATGTCAAGGGGCTCTTAACGATAACAGGATCATTGCAAAGGGTTATTTACCATCATGACTGCTCTTACTTGACTAATAGCTTAAGAGTAGGTACCACTATTATGTTCTCATACCTGCTTACAAAATCTACCAAGATTTGTTAGGTCTGCCTGAGGGCTAGTTACTGCCTTGCTCATTAAAGTTTGCCTAGGGGGCTAGTCTGTTATATCAACATCGTTTTTTAATACTGATATATGGTACCATAAGGGACATCCTGGTGCTCTATATAGAGAATAAAGACAAGACTCTGAAGAATTCACATTTTACATAGTATTCTTACCTTAGAGAATGGCCCAGCAAACCTCCACAACCCATTAAATCCAAAACCTGTAACAAATTATATGACTATTACCACCATATAACAATTTTCTCATATTAGGTTTTCCTATCAAAATTCTAAGAAAGATGCATCTTGCATTGGCTTACATAAAATGATGTTATGTAAAGATCTCTCAGTTACAGAACATGACATTTCTTAGGTATAAAAATAGACTAAATTTTGTGTTCAATATGTAAAAAGTACAGCTACTGAGCAGTGTGCATAGTATAAATATATGTATTACATAATATGCACACTCAAACAATATTACATCTGAAGTATAATAAATGAATTCCAAGCCTCAAATTAAAATGGGAGGCTGTCATGTTAAGAGTTTAAATATACATAAAAATTCCAAAAGGGCAAATTACTTTGGAGCCTAAAGTCATATTTTCAAAATGAACTTAGGAGCCAAAATGTCATGGACTTTCAGTGCCTAAGTCACTCTGAAAACAGGGCTTAAGGTGGGTTAGAAATGTTACCCTCTACAATTTATTTACCAGTTAGATCAGAAGCAGGCAAGATATGGCCTGCAGGCCAGATCCAGCCCGCCAAGCCTTTTAAGTCGGCCCGCCTGTCCCTGTGGCATGGAGCAGTGCTGCTCAAAGCAGGTAGCTGCTCCCTGTGCTCTTTTTTGCTGCATAGGGAGAGGAGGCAGCTTTGCACACTGCCACATTACGGTTTGTGAAATTTAGAAAAACCCCACTCTATTAATTCTGGGCAGCAGTAATCTTGACAGAAGCATTATTTATTTATTTTACAGTAAAGCGGTTTAAAAAAAGAAGAAGAAAGATATTTACTTTGTAGGTAAGAAGTTTGGTACTGGGGTGGAGATTCCTCATGGTAGACAACACTCTGAACGATCCCATGAATTGGATTCAACAAATTTGGATCTTGGCACAGTGACAAAAGGGTATTGATCTTGGAGTCCAATAAATTGTGCCTAAACAATACAAAAGTAAGTGTCTTTGTTTTGTTCATGTAGTTACTTAAAGCTGAAGATGAACTGCAGATTCATTTATCAAATAAAGCTATTGGGATGGGATTTTCAGCAGTGTCCAAGTGATTCAGGAGCACAACTTATTCACTTTGAATGGGACTTATTTATGCTCTTAAGTCACCTCAGTGCTTTTGAAAAATCTCAGACATAGAAAATGTAATTCAGCAACTCATTTCTTTAATTAGCAATTAAAAATACTCAGACATGCAAAATCAAATATTTGAATTATTTACGAGGAAACAACTTGTAAAATAAATCTCTGGATTTACTCAATCTTTGGTATTATTTCTGACACTGCTAAAGGATGCCAATTACTCCCAGTTTGTTTTCAATGACATGTGAAATTCCTTTGAGTCTGACCATTTTATAAAAGGATGATGTGCGTGTTGTAGAAAAAATATCACACCTCAATTTAAGAAGTCCACACAAATTACACTCTCTAAATGACTTAACCACCTGCATTCTGCTACAAAGACCTTTTACATCTGCACTTGAAAGGGAATCCTCTGAACTGTCATTCATGTTAAAATTCGACACTTGCCAACAAGGACTTAACAAGTCTTTGAACTTTCTCACCCATTACCAAGACAGTTTCCCCAATTATCACCTGTAATACCATTAACTCACAAACATCCCACTCTCCCTACCTTTAATATCAGCAATTCACAGACACTTACCTTCCTTCCTCCCCCTTCCCACCCCCCCGCATCCCCCTTCTGTTCTGCAATGTGATTTGTCCTTTTCATATTTGTTCACTTTTTTTTAATTGTATCCTTTGGTATATATGGTTGTGACTGCTTTCTTCCACTATTTGATCTGAGGAAGTGGGTCTGGCCCACGAAAGCTCATCATCTAATAAACCATCTTGTTAGTCTTTAAAGTGCTACATTGTCCTGCATTTTGCTTCACACAAATTACATGATAGTTGAATTTTCCTAAACTGTATTTTTTGCACGCAGAAACCACCACCATAACAAACTAAGCAAACATGTTGTATGCAGAATCGCATACAAAGAGTATACTTGGGTTCACTTTACATAACTCGTTTCAATGGGTCACTTCAATACCAGTAAAAAAAACCCCTATAACCATGACTGAACAGCTGGACCAATGGCTGCAGTCAGCATTGAGAGATTTGGGTGGGTTTGGAAGAAACTGTTGGGCTACTGAACATGCAAACTGAACAATATGGACAACAGCAGAGATAGCTTCTCCACAGTCAGGCCAAAGCATCCAAACTCTGACTTGGAAGGACTACGCCAGAGCATAATTTGGTCTTCAAGGCCTTTGGCTTCTCTGTGGAAACAGTCCATAAGGGTACTTCTTAGTACCAACTGGGGGTGGTTTCTGAATTGAGGATACCTCTATCCAGGGCAGGCCCAAGCCCTTTTGGCGCCCTGGGCTCGAGCGCACAGTGCTGCCCCCAGGCACACAGTGCATGCACGGGCCCACCCCCCCAGGGAGCATGGGCCCTCCCCCAAGGCACACGGCACATGCGCGGGCCAGCCCCTGGGGCGCACAGTGTGTGTGCGGGCCGGCCACAGCCGCTGGCGTGCAGCCCGGGGCATGCCCCCAGGGAGCACGGCACATACACTGCCCAGCCTGGCCTGGTGAGCGCTGCTGGCGCGTGCGCTGGGCCATGCAGGGCCCCACGGCCATGGGGGGGGGGGGGGGGGGGAGGGCC